AAACTAAAGATGGATAGCAAGTTCACTGGAACGTGGAAACTTTGGAAACTTGGCAGTTTTTACGAGTTAACTTTCAGCTTGGTACTGACAGATATCTATGGCACAATGTGTCTGAAAGCCGACTTCATAAACGCAAGTCAGGATGGAGGTGAAGCACAGATTTCAAGAGACAGAAGTATGGAAATGGTCAAGAAATGTCACATTGCAGATCAGGGGGTCTCGAAACGTGCCCATAATCGAGGTGGCGTTCTGTGTATCTGTGATTAGATGCGCGTCAGGTAATGAGGGGCGCCGTCTTCACTGCTGGCTCCGAATATAGATTTAACCATATAACTCTACGCCTCATTTCATGGGTAAATTTTACACAATTCACTAATACATTTTATATCTGTGATGTATAAATTAGCAGAGTGGAAAGTCATTATAAATTATTTTTCATTAGGAAGCAACACTGTAATCACAATATTAACTGAATTAACAATCACACAACTCTATTTACAAATTGTATAGCTACAGTCAATATCTGATAATTAAGCGCACCAAATTATGTTCACTATATAATATAATGTTGTGCTCCTCTGCAGCCATTTTAATAGACTTTTTACACATTAATGTTCATTAATGAGGAATGGAATACTTAAAATATAAAAGCAGGTTGAGTAAAATGTTTTACCATGTGATGCTTTGCTATACAAAGAACGCCACACACATTTTGTTAACAAAGTGCGACTTGAATGGTTATGTTGCCGACTTTCACAGGCCATAGACTAAGTGGTAGAAAAAATGGGCTTTTACTTGGTCGTAGATGTTTTATGGCACCAATATTAAAGCATAAATTTGCCTGCGTTCATTCCAGGTTGCACATCAAATTCATAAGGAATTTAAAAGAGTTTTTTTTCCTGCAAATGGACTAAAAATATATTTGTTGAGTAGCCTTTTTTAACAGGGAAGTTACAGAGGGCTAGAGAAGGCCAAAATAACACTGGAATTTGGATTATTGATCACCATAGCAACAGTGATGTACTGTAAATCCATCAGTCATACTAATGGATCTTCAGGCTCATAAAAGTAACATGAAACTTCTCATATAGTTTCTGACAATTAATTTTCCTTAAAGGAGTAACCTTACTGTGGGGATTGCCTTCTGTAAAGCACTTAGGATGCTCTATCTCCGAGGCCTTTTTATGGATGGTGGCTGACCTCCAAAAGCACGGACATCCCCATATAGAGAAAGAGTTCCGAGTGCTACCCCCTGTCATTCAGGACGCTTATAATAAACAGATGAGTTTTTTGAATCCATGCGCACGAGTGTCACATGACCAATGCTTAAAGAGACAAGCCCTGAAAATATTGCAGACAACGAAACGCAATCTCCCAGTTTCAGTATTTCAAAAGCACTTACATAAGAACGTGAAATGGACCCAGAAAATGATGAAGATTAAAATGTCATGTAAAAATAATACAAAAGATAAACTGCAAGCAGTGACAAACAGGTCCAAAGCTAATGGACAGAAGCAATGGGGAGGAATGGAGTGAATGGCATAAAGTTAGAAGTTCACTAATGATGGGAAATGAAGTACAGACTGTAACTGGTGGCCAATGTATTTAAATAGTCAGAAAGTAGGAAATACTACTATGATAGGATGAGACCTGACATTTGGACATTACAGTAGAAATGTTCATCAAGTTAGGATAAAGGAAAATGGGTAGATGAGAAACAGAAGGGAAATGTGCTTGTATCTGTTTAGGAGAAATATCACCAATGTAGAACCGTCTCGTGCATGCATGGTTTGGGTCTTATGGTCTGAGTAGTTATGTGAATTAGCAAAGGTGGGTCTTACACACATATGCACAGTGGCCGTAGCGCCCCCGTTTGACCAATCAGCACCAAAGTTGGAGGGTCTGTTTGTGGTCCAGTGCTAAATTAGTGGGTCAAATTTTGTGAGGATTGGCTGAAACATGATTTGGCATGACTCACAGAACTTGCAGTACAAAGGATTTTAACCAGTAATATGTCACTGGAACAGAAATGAGAAAAATGTAAGATGAACTGATTTTCCAGGTTTATACAGGTATGTTATATTGCTGTATTGCCCCCGTTTGACCGATCGGCACAAAAGTTTGGTGATGATTGGCTGAGGCAGGCCTGAGATATGGGGGTGGCACCTGTATGGTCTGGGTGTGGCTGGTGGCCATACCTTACAGAAAGTTTAGGATTTTTTAAATAATTATTTATAAGGACTGTCTCCGGATTTAAATGATACCAGACTTATGTAGGTTGGGAGAAAATCCTAGGAGGTTAACGAAAAGTCCTGTTTTCAGACCTATATAAATTACGCAAAAACGCAAAGATGGAGAACCAAGTTCTACATATTGTTTGATTTGCATGTCATACTGAATTGGCCTGGTAATAAATGTCAACTGTAGGCTTGAAAGTTCTGGAGAAATAGGCAGAAACGCAAAAGTTGTCACTGTAGCGCCCCCATGTGGCAGACTGGGGTGCCCTTACCAGGGTGAGGTCAGGGTCTGTAGACACATGGACCATCCAGATTTAGTTGAGATTGGTGATTGCTAGGCCTGTCAAATGTATGCTTGATTTTCATAGGCTAATTATGGCCACCATTGTATGACTAATGACTGCCATACTATGGATCTGACCTCAGGCTTGGCCATAGTAGACATTTGCCAAATTTCACTTGAATAGGCCAAGCAGTTCAGGAGATATTGGAAGTAGGTATTTGTAGCGCCCCCTATTGACTAAATGCGGGCCACTTTGTATGGTGTCCCCAGAATGGAGAAGGAGGTAGGATTTTAAGTTTGGTTAAGGTAGGCTAAGGCAGGGAGAAGTTATAGCAGTCAGACTGAAACTGGCCAAATTTAGGTGGAGTTTGGGCATGGCAGATGGCCGTATGATACAGAAATGTCAGACTTTTGATCAACAATTGATCAGCTCAGAGGATTGATCGGTTTGACACCTAATTTGTCTGATTTGGTCAGATAGTGTAGGACTTTAAGGCAGAAGTAAGTTTTGTAAATTATGCAAATTAGCAAAAAATCTAAGTAGGCAGAGCCTAATAGTTTCACTTTGAAAGTGTAGTTGTAGGGAATATCTGTCTGTATCTGTAGAAAAAAGAATTTCAATTGTAGGACTAACAGGACAGGAGATATTGGCTGAAAAGTGTATGGTGGGCACTACAGCGCCCCCATCTGACTGAATGACTTGGGTTGGAGGGTCTGAGTAGTAGGTAGGAATTGACATTGACATCATCCTACCAAGTTTGGTCCGCCTCGGTCTTACAGTTTAGGCTGCACATTCAGTTTTACGGCAGAAAAATAATAAATACTCCTAAGACAATCAATAATGGTCCATAGCACAATGTGCTTTGGACCCTTAATTAGTTTAAAAAATGGCTTACAATGACTGTTTGTTCTAAAGTTTGGTGCAAGGGTAAAAATCCGATTTTGGTAAAATTACACATTGTCACAAAATTATGCACAGTACATAACCAAAACCACAAATAGTTAATGAAATAGTACTTTTAGTACCATGAAAGTTGAGCCCAGATCAAGAGAAAATACGTGGCTATGAAGTCTAATAAACATGTTACACTTGCATCCTGTTTGCTTAACTGAAAAATAATTATGAAAACAAAAACATATTAAAAGTCAAAAATAATGTTTCATGCATTTCTTACCTTTACATACTAAAACATACTTTTTTGGGGAATGGACAGGGAGAGAACCAAGATTAGAGATGTACGTCTTGATCGTTCAATATGTTTAATCTCCATTGTTTTAATGTTTGACGGTTTAACAACAAAATAAGAGTTTAAACACTGGGTTTTGGATTGATGTTCTCGACAAAAAAACCTGGAGTAGGGATTCCATCGCCAACAGGCATCACACTGCAGACTTGTGAAAAGGGCACCAGTGCAGTGCACGAACACTAGCATAATGCCGACTCCCTGAGGAGTATAATGGGAGGAAGGGCTTGTGCTTCACAACTTTAATCATCCATTCACACGCTGCATTCCAAGGGCCACAATTCAAGCTGTTCAAACGGAAGGAAATTAGAAAGCCGCTACCCGATTGGTCAGCCTGATTATTGAACATTACTTCTCATTATTTCCTTCCTATGATCATTTTAGGCAATTTGTTATTGACGGGTAAATCACCTAAAACGTGTATGCATGTGTGTTTTTTTTTTCTTTGATCTGTTAAAATTGCATGAATCATACACAGTGCTTTGAAATCCCCCTTTACTAGAAAGAAACAAAGGCTTTCAAAATGGTGCAACATTTAAAAAATTTCATGTGGGTGTCATCATAGCGCTAAAATCTATTGGTTGGCAGTTTGACATTGACCGTTCAGGGCAAATTGACCACCTGCTTTAAGGCAGAGAGGAGGAAGGGAGGAGAAAAATCAAGGTAATTTGCCAGCAGTTGTCATGGAAACTGCTTCATGTTGCTTGGTTCCATTGACAAAAAATAATAAGTACGTTGCCAGGAAGCAGAGTAGAGATATCTTACAGAAGGTTTGGGGGAGAACTAGACGGTGCATTTTTCAGTTGTGCAGTTCTTTGTATGCTGTTCTTTAAAAACATAAATGCACAACTTCTCTATGTTTAACAGTGACTCATTTCATTTACAAATAAATATGCAGATATACAGTATGACCACTCTATATAATCCCATATAATCGTAAATTGCTTTGCATCTGGCTAAAAGAATTCAAGATGTTAAATGATGAAATTTAATTCCCATTGTTCACAATAAAAACCTGATACGTCTGTCAGATTATTGTAGCCATTTTCATGACAGCCAGATTTGTCTGAGTCTTGCTTTTCAACAAACAACACAGTTCACTTACAGTACATGATAAGCTGCAAAATAAACACATACTTTTGGTGTAATCCTTGAAAAGTGAGTACATTATACCGCATGGTAAAAATATTATTAGTAGCAAAACAAACATCAACATAGGAAAGGAAGAGTACTTACTCAGAGGAGTCTATGAAGTATATTATAAGGGCAGCAATGCTAAGTACAAAGACGAGAACCACCTGAAACAAAAGAAGGGGGATTATTAGGCAGAGAACTTAATGTCAACATGAAGACCATTCACAACAGCTGATGGCTGTACGAAAAACTGCCTTCAAAATAGCCCATTCAAACTCATTACTCAAATACATTTTATACATTCTATTTGATATATTCCATCATCTTCAATGTTATTAGTGGTAAACACCTTTATTAAGAGGAACCTTCATTTCCTGAGCTCATTACATTACAGGAAGTCTCAAAAGTTGTCCCTGTCATTCATTCTTACATTTAATAAGAAACGATGATTAACCAAATAATAGCCAGCTCTAGTTACAGTGTGTTTTTGTTTAAAACGAAACTGCGAACTTCAAGTGGAAAAACTGATTGGCAAAAATACAGAGAAATATAGTTATTCAGTAAGTACTACTCAGTATTTAAAATGGAACTTAGTGCACATTACCCAATTTAACTTTGAAATATTTTTATTTCCATATGAAAATCCCAGTTCTTAATGAAGCAAACAAGTTATTTAAGAAAATTATGCAGAGAAAAAAAACCATTAACTGAAATAAATTATTTCACCAAAAAATGACGCAAAGCCCATTATTGTGCTGACTAATACAAAATGTGAAATTAGTTCATCTCTAATCAGGGTACTTTACATTTTAATGTTAAGAATTAAAATCCATCGTTAACACATGTAAGCTTGTTAAATGTTAAAGGACATGGGGGGGAAATAGTGAAGCAAGTTTAAACACAGTTTAAACAATATCCAAATTAAGTACAACATTCTGCAATAAAGTATTACAAATTAAAAACAAAAAATGAAATAAAGTGTCTTCAAATCTTAAGTTTTAAGTGTTGCATGACTAAGACAAAGTGGCATTTGCATTTCATCCAGACAAAAGGAATTTTTCATCAATCCCAGCATAAAAGAATGAGAATACAGCTGGAACTATCCATTTGTCACAATAATGTGAGGGAACTGTGCTGAAAAAATTGCCAGTAAATTGACGTTCTGTAGGAAACCCCACATATATCTTTATTTATAGTAATGCTATTATAAAGGATTTGTTGCACAGCCTAATAGTTACTTTATGCTATGTGGGAGTTCCTTTGCATCATCATCATCATCTTTTGTGTTCCTGCACTGCATTTGATAGGTGGATTGAAGTGACAACTTTTCATTGGGTCCTGCTCACGCATTAAGTGGCATCACATCACAGAGAAATGGGATACGATTAGATCCCCCTAAGCTCAGGAAACATCTTCAATTATCTATCATTATATAGAAGGACCTTTGCATGTCATCAAGGTCAAAGCACGTCGTGTTGGGTTTTTTTTTCCCTTGGCTGATTGCACGCCTGTCCACATACAGCTGTGAGATGAACAGAAACGTCTTATCAGCAGCACCAATACGCAATCACATTATATTATTATGTATACCACGAGAGTCATGTGGCAATGCAATCAAGCTATTGTGCGAGTTGGGGAAGGTGCAGAGACTTCCAAAGAAAGTGCATTGTCGTTCCCCCCCCCCCCACAAAAAAAAATCATCTGCGGCAGGGAGACCTCGGGTTAATAAACGTCAGCCAGAGCAGTGCCAGAGCAACAAAGTGTTCACTGTCAGCTGCCAGATCCAACATCAGGAGGCCACACGAAACATAATCAGAGGCTCGCCGTATCCAGTGTCTGTTCCTAGAAACTAAAGGAGACCACAGGTGGAGATGTGTCATCCGTGGCGAGGCAGCTTAACTTAACATCACGCAAAATAGCTGGCTTCTGACTCTATTTAAGCAAACTGCAATGCGTGGCTCCATGATCCTTGCTACCCTTTTTAATGATACATTTTCATATACGATATACGTTATATATAACGCCTTCAAGTCATTTTGTACATATAAAAAAGAAGACTGCAAATATGAAGAAGTAGCTTTTGTCTCTGTCCATGGTACTGACTCCATGCTCAGTGGTCTTTCAATGATGACGCTAAAAGAGAATAGAAAAATTAGCTTTATAATACGGAAATCATCTCCTTATTAGTTCCTTGTAGTTACATCTGCAGAATAACGTTCGCTGTAGAACTTAACATTCATCACATAACTGAGCAGGATGTCTTTAATGAGTCGTCGGCATTAGTATAATACGCCTTGAGCACTTGTAAGGAGTTCATAGGAATCATCACTGAAAAAAATCACAAGTGGAATAGGGCATAACCAGGTAGTCATCAGGGTAACCTTTAAATTCAGAACACTAGAAGGGCAGACAAGCTCTCTTTAAACCGGAAAGTCCTTTCATTAAGCAGATTGTTGGCAAGGAACTCTGCATAAAAAAATACCATTTCTACATGATGAGCAGATGAGATTTATGGCTCCCTCTGCATAAGCGGAGGCTCTGGGGCGCACAAGCTCGCAAACAGAACGTACACGGTTTTATTTAACGTGGAGGGGAAGGAATTTTGTGGAGTAGAATGACCAAACACACCACATATATATGGTATAGCCATGACATGAGAGCTATCGCCGAACTATTTCGAGAGAGCTCAACCTGAAGAACAGCAGGTCTTCCAGCAGCAGTCCAACATGTTCAGCCCTCGACATTTAGGCATCATACAATAGACTTGGAGCAAAAGCAGATCATGGCATGCATAATACATGGACAGGGGCTGATTATTTTTCCATGATGTGTATTCGGATTGTCACTCCACATTGTTGGCCTGCTCAAAAGAAAACACTTTCATGTATTTTTTATGGCTGGTCTTTGTTTTTCAAATGGTTCGAGGGATATGAGGAATACAGAAGGGCTGAGGGAATGACCAGGGCCCATACATATATAGCTGACTGCCCCCCCCCTGTATTCTTTCTGCATGTGATCCATTGTTAATGCAGAAAACACAAATACATACAAATATATTCATGCATCCTGAGGGAAAATCCAGCATACTCTCAGCACCTAGTGCCTAGAATAATAAGGTCTCGAAACAAATAGCATTTGTTTCTGAAAATACAATGCCACTAGGGGGCGTAATTAGCTTATACAGTGGGTCAAAGGTGTTTTTTTTTGTGTGTGTGTGTGTGTGTGTGTGTATGAGGCGGTAGAAGGGTAAAACTACCACATCAATGCTTGGATGAAATATACGGATGGTAATCGGAAATGATCTGGCATGGATCAATCTCCACTCCACCTTTATTCCCAGGCAGAAGCCTGCTAGCTTTACTTACTGATGAGCAGGATGGGAGGTCACTGCTTTAAAACGGAATCAAGCCGTTTGTAGTGTCTCCCAGGCCTAGCCTAGTTACTCACCGGCGAGCTTTAGCCGTGGCGCTGTACTCGCAGGGCCCAAAGCCCCTCCACAGGCTTGCAGGCAGTGTCACGCTCCAAGCCAATAATAAAGCCGAAAGCAGTAAGCTAACTAGGAGTCCCGGAAATATTTATAAACAAGCAGGCGCTGCTTAGAAAACCCACAGAATCTGGCATTGAGCTAAACCATGGATCAGATTGGAATTGAACCTGAAGCTACTTTATAGTCGTGTCTGGCAGCCTTAGCTCTTTATCTGGATTACACACATCACCTGTGGTGAATCAGAACAGACAGGCAGCCCCGCTCCACATGAACTAATGACCTTCTGTAAGGCGGCGAACCTACCGCACTCGCCGCAGAGCCTTTCAGTCGTGATCGACACTCCCCCGACGCATTCGGCCCACCGAGAGTCACGTTGCCCCCGCGCTGTCATTTAGTGGAGGGAACCCGCCCTCACGTCACGGGTATGGAAAAACCACGGGCATTTCACCCTGGGTTGTTCGAGTTAAATGTTCCCATAAAGCACCATTTAATCTGAAAGTGTGGCTTCGATGGTACATTTAATAATAATGACACATTTTATTTGCCTCGCCATCTTCTTCAGGCTCAAAGCGCTTTAAGAGAGTATTAGGAGAACGATACGAAAGATGTCAGAGCAATAGAATAGCAGTAGTCAAAGTAATTCACAAAAGTAAACAAATTAGCATCATAAGTCAGTCTAAAGTCTAATTAAGCCAAGTAACAGGAATCGAATCTGTTGACATTTAGATGCTCCAGAGATGGAAAAAGGTACAGTTTTTGTGCACATGCATTCAAGACACTGATTCTGAATATTTTGTTCAGCCTGTTCATATATATATATATATATATATATATATATATATATATATATATACACACACACGCACGCACGCACGCACGCACGCACACACGTACGCACACACGCACGCACGCACACACACCCTGAAAGGCTCCCACCTGTCTGGGGGCTTGCTCGGCACTTTGCCATGTCATGCAATACATTCGTCTTCCATCCAGGGTTTTGCTTCCTAACTGAATACCGCTTGCAGAAATGTTTTCAAAACCCGGAACCTCAGGCCACATTAACGCAAAGATAGCTAAAGTAACATAGCATTGAAATCACCTACCACTGAGAAAGTATTACATTTTTTTGGAGTTTTGGAGCGTCAGGACAAACTGCCAGGAGGTGCCATTAATTTGTCTTTTGTTTTATTAGCTGTGATGGACTAAACTACACGGAATCCCTGATTCATAACCGAAATCGCGGCCACAGTCACGTTAATTGCAAAGCTAATTTATGACAGTTTCAAATGCAGTGGTGCCCCAGAAGAACTGGTCAGTCTGTGTGGCCCAAAATCAAAAACAAACATTTAACTAGGAGATCTTAACCAAATATGAAGTCCACAGAAGCTCTTACCATTGACCCTCTTTATGAAATTTAATTTCCCTTAGGTCAGTGTTTCCCAATCTGGTCCTCGGGGACCTGCAGATCTGCAGGGAGCCGGAGGGGAGCAAAAATGTGAACTGTCGCAGGAAGCTGGGAGGGAGCAAAAACATGGACTGGCTGTGGGTCCCTAAGGACCGGGTTGAGAAACACTGCCTTAGGCTAACATACATGACAGGCAATAAATGTGAACAGAAGAAAAGCTGAGAAAAGCTGAATTTATCATCCATCCAACCTCCAACCACTTACCCACT